CTGCAGACGGCACGACAAAAACGTCACTATTGGGAATGTCCTAACTCCAGGAAGTATTACCGAAACAATGAAGCTAGACATCTGCGGACCCCGGGCAAATCCAAATTTGGCACACGTGGATTGCCCGACTACCGCGGACAGCCGCCGACAGCGCCAGCTGCAGCTAAAGCCGACTCGCCTGCGCCAGCCGCGCCAGCGGCATCGGCGACGCCAGCGCGGCCACGCGCACCGCAAACGCTGCGGATCACGCCGGGGAAAGCAGATCCGACGGCGGGCGCCATCAGCCACGACGCGACACGCGGTGCACGGCGAAGTCCGACACTATCGGGCTGGTCGCGGTTCGACCTGCAGGTTCGGCCCGAAAGCCAGCGTAGCTACGAACTAGCACTATTCATGGACGAGCTGCGTAAATCCATTTTCGACTGTACCACTCCACGTAACCTAAGGCGCGGCTCGCACTGTCCAGGTTTGGCCTTGACAGCGCGCGCGTTAATTTGATGAAGGCCGGCTGTGACTCCTGTCGTGAGCGCAGAACCTCGGGTGGGCCTTGCGACGCGGTGATCTCAGCAGTTAAGTTCCCAGGCATTTTCAATGATGAAGCCGAATGCGATTTGATGTTGTGCGCGCAGCACGTTGCATCTCGCGTTGTTGACCCCTGCGTCTGATGGGGAGCTGGGCAGGTGCCCGACCGAACGGCGCGCAGTATTCGGGGCGTTTATTATTGATGTTTGGCGTAGCCCGGGCCCGTCAAGGCCCTGCGCTCAGATGGTGAAGGAGCTTTGAACCATGACGCAGCCAGGGCTGTCTTGATCTCTCAGGGCGTGGGTTCCGCATCCGAGCGCGTGGCCAGCGCGTTGCTTCCATCGCGCTGAGGAGCGGCATTATCCGCCATGCGTTTGGCGTCATGGAGCAAGAACTTAAGGAGCATCGCGCGCCGCCTGCGACCCAGCGGTTGCCGCGCGAACTCGCGCGCGCGAGCGGCGCGCCCACTTTCTACAGCGGTGCGTCCTGGTGCTGGGCTCTTCGCGGGCGACGGCTTGCACGTCTCCTAGGCCCCCCAATTATTGGCCGCGCGCGATCAAGAAGCGTTTGGCCCCAGTCACGAACAACGACGGATCAGGGAGATCAGCGTTGAGAACTATCGCGCAGGCCATTGCAGTGCAAAGACCAAGCGCGCGTTGCGCCCGAAAACTACACGCCTGGCCCACGTGCGCATGCGCCGGGAGATCGTGCAGATCACCGCCGAGCGGCCGCAGCGGAGGACGGCGGGGGAGGATGAAACGGCGCGCTCGGAGTCGTGAGGAACGATCCCAGACGGGGCCAAGTTGCGCTTCAGGTCGGAGGACCCGCGCAAAACGGAAGGCGCTCATCACCCGCGAGATCGGTCCGATGATACGGCCACGCGCGCAGCACGGGCATCTATCGCAGCCTTGCCCGCGGGGGAACCTTTGGCTACTTGCCAAGAGAACCGGGGTGCCAGCGACAGACGACCGCGAGCGAGTTATCGCCTGAGGTCAATTTGGCCCTGCAGTATCTCATGCGATTGTTTCCGCGCCGAAGACGTAGTGATCGTGAGATTGACCAACGGCAGTCATCGACTCCCTGCAGTCAACTACTGCTGAATGCAACGGCGCAGCCCTGAATCTACATGACATTGCTGGGGCGTGGCGCGCGAGGGTGATGCAGTGCCTTATGTCCTCCAAACCGATGGCCACCCATTCGCCATCTACGAGGGTTCCGAAGGCGACCTCGAGGTGGATTCCAGACGCGGCGCGCCGGACTACAAGAAGAACAGGAAGTCTTGGAGACCGCTCCACTCGAGGATCTGCGCTCGGCATTGTCTGCGATGATCGCGCAGAACTGTGCGTCGGCGGCCGTCGGCGGCGAAGAGCAGGGCCACCTGCCGCCGCGGGGCAACTTGCAGCGCGACGCCGAGGAAATCGTGCCATATCATCATATGCGTAGCAAGGCCTGGCGGCGCCTGCGAACTAGAATGCGACGGGCGCGGTCTGCGCGTCGATCTGCTCCGCGGCAGGCGTGTCCAAGGTCTCGCAGACAGATCAGCGGCAACGACTACTATATCTCGACTGCGTCACCGCCTGCGTCGCTACGATGCGAGTGTATGTGACAGCGGCCTCGCAGCGGGCTCTAGTGGTTAAAGCGGGCGAAGTCTCCGCGGACGCGGAGATCCAAGCTAACTTGGGCAAGCGAGTCAAGGCGGCAGGCACAGATGTCCATGTGGGGCTCGTCAACGGATGATTCAGAATGCAGGCTGTCAAGATCGCGCCGAACATTATGGCTTCGAGATATGCGCGCGCATGTAAATGCGGCAAAATGCAGGGATGGAGCGCATCATCCGTCCTCGCCATGTGTCGAAGGTTTTCATGGACTTCGAGGTTTTCGACGTTGAGATCTTTCCGGGCGCGGCCAGGCGTTCGAGCCAGAGGCTGCGCGCCGTCGGGGCCGCGCGCAGGACGCGATGGGCCATTGCATCCATGGGCCCCGGCAAATGCGGTCCGAGAGAGCTCGCGCACCGCGAGTTGGCCGATGCAAACGGCAAGAAAGAACAAATTGTTTGCTTTATCGTGCCGCCAGGTTCAGCTACCGCCCTGAGGTCATTCCCTGGCTTCGCGTCATTCGACGGATCGAAGCATTGCTCACGGCGCCTCAAACCAGGCACTTAGACCAAAGACGCCCCGCGGGCGTTCTCGTTGCAGCTTCGCGTGTCAATTCGGGGATTTTGACTGCGACCTACCTCGTGCGACGAGCGTCGATGGCATAGTCGACGGCAACGAGGGCGCGATCGAGAAGCGCGTCGAGCGCGCAGAAAACCTTCGGCGCATGCGAACTTCACAAACACTTGCGTCCACCGTTCGCGCCGTGAGATGCGCTAAACTTTAGGATGGCAGTTCCGCCCTCGGCCAGGGCGAACATAACAGAGCGTTGTCCGATGCGTCATTTTGAACTTCAGGGTGCTGCTGCCGAAGATGAGCGACGAAGACCATGACCGACGTGTTCATCAGCCTTCGGGGTACTTTGGCTTATGCCGCATTCGCCCGTAGCTGATGACATGCGTGGCATTTTTACAGCGCGTCCAAGAACCGACCAACCTACTGGTTTTACGATTCAGCGCCATCGCGTGGAAGCTGCAGGCAAGTCTAATGACAATTGCAAACCAAGCTATGACTCAAACTGGAAAGTTGGGCCTGCGTAGCGACTCTAGCGGCCGACGCCTTCGCGACGACGCCGACGACGAGGTGGAGGGGCATGGTGGCCGAGGTGCTGACATCTTTAGGCGTGGGCCCACGCATGAGAGAGAGCCTGTCGCCCACCTGTTGGATGCGCGCTGCAAGTCCCACTGACTGCAGGTACTCGCCATCTGTTCAGCGGAAGCGCTAGCAGCAGCACGCAGCTTGGAAGACTGCTACCCGACTGTCATGACATTTCACAAAGTCCAGGTCGCTTACACCTACGCAGTTCAATAGCATGCTGGACATGGGGCGTCTGCACATCAAGGCAACACCAACCATTGACGTAGAATCCGTCTTCAAGTCCTTGTTTAGCAACGACCCAAAGACACAGGCATCAGGTACATCATTTGATCATACTAGTTGGATTGGACAAAAGATTGACAGGGGTATCGTACGTAGTGGACAGTGGTGTGACACACGTGATATGACAGCCGATTGACATACCAAAGGTACTATTGATCGCGAGTTACTCCTACAAGTGATGTGAGTCATCCAGTCCTTCAAGCACGAACAAAACCAGTGTACACCGTGCCCGGGTAATCAGGCTTCAACGCTTGAGCCTGGTCCTGCGAGGTCCGGCGGTTGAGGTATATCGGGCAGCATGGCCGCAAGCTTTCCTACGCCTGGTCACTGGCCCTTAACTTTTCTAGGACATGTTCGGGCGTCTGCATCCCCAGGCGCCTGATTTTTGCGAGGTTACTCGCCATTCAATATTTTCACGTAGGGTGGGCTCCCAAGCAGTGACGAATGTCTAACGACCTGTTTGGGTTTTGTGTGTGGGGGGTCGCCCGTTGTGCGGCCCCCGCTAGCATGGTTGTAATGTAGCTGCTTGTTGCGAGCAGACTCGCCCTTTGTTTCCCTCTCGTCGACTTTGAACGGGGTTGGAAGGCGAGCAAAGCGAGCGTCTAACCGCCGCCGCTTGGTTCAAGCTGCGCGTGGCTGTATCTACTTGGACGGTGCCACTGTAGACGAGCGTGTGAGAAAATGTACATCGTTCTTTGATCATAAACCCTTTTCTATATCTACTGTCCCATGTCCAGTCCCCGCCATTCCTTACCCATGCTACGTCATGGCTGGGATCTGGGGTGCATCTAAGACGATCTGCGCATCTCAGTTTACCATGTGGCGTCTGACTTCTCGGGCCGTCTTGAATCAATGGTCGGCCGCCTTGGGGCCATCTTGGGCCGCGTTCGATGCGTCTTGGCCCGTCATGGTGCCCTTGGTTGCCTGCGCAGGCCGTCATGGAAGCTCGGGTCGCGTATCCATGTCCTTTAACGAGGGACCGCGGCTTGGAAGGCCTTGGAGCGCTCGGGAGCAGCGGCTGGGTATGCGAGAAGCGCGCGATCCTCGAGCAAGTGCGCGTGGAATGAGGTGCATAGGAGTTTGCAGCCATCAGGGAAGTGTGAAATCTTCGAGCGGACACGCGTGGGAAAGAAGGGTGAGATATTCGCTGCCATGCGGGGAGTATGCAATCCTCCAGCGGGCGCGAATGGAACAATGGCCTAGACATTCGCTGCCATGCGGGAAATGCACCATCCTGGAATGGGGGTTTTATGCATTAGTTCCCATGCTGGAAGTGCACCATCATCGAACGGGCACGAGAGAAGTGGCTGGCCTCGGTGAGTAGGTGTGATGCACGCACCAGTCCGCGGGTAGAAGGGAAGGGGGTTCCTTGCTCGGAATTTAAAGCCTTACCAGACAGCCGTTAGCATCCTCCACGGCCCAACGTGCCAGGAGGCACTGTGTCGGATAGCATTGCTGCACATCGGTTTGATACTTTGGGTGGTTCCATGTTGACTCTCATGCAGTTCATGACCTTCGACAGCGTGGCACCGGTCTACACACCTCTGATATTTGCGAAGCCATGGTTGTTCATCTATTTCTTGGTTTTCCTCCTGCTTGGTCCTATTGCCCTCATGAACATCATGAGGGGGAGAAGAAGAAACATCTGGATAATGGAACACCCAAGCTCTGGAGCAAAACCATATCTTAAGAGACGAACCTCCTTCATGAAGTCGATGACACTGTCCTGTGAGATGGCGGTCTTCTTACTTGGTGTTGGCCCTGAACAAATCTTGCATCCATCTCCCTAGAGGTCTGCACAACGACTTCAAAGAGGAAGATCGTCTCTTAAGATATGTTTATACTCGAGAGTTGGGATTTTCCATTCACCGTCTGCTTCTTCTCCCGCTCATGAACATCGTCACAGCCATCATGGTGGAGTCCGCCCTCCGCACCGCCAACGAGGACCAGGTTGCAAAGAGGGCATGGGATGACATGAGAAGGAAGAACATGATGCCCAAGCTGAGAAATTTGTTCATGACTCTGGACACGACTGGTGATGGAGAAGTGGACCTTGAAGAGATCCTGAACGCTCCATCCGACATCAAGGAGGCCATGCAGCACATCGTGGGCTTGAACCAGCTGGAGGAAGTTTTCCATCTGCTGGACTATGACGGGAGCGGCACCGTGGACATTAATGAATTTGTGGAGGGGATTTTGCGGTCGCAAGGAGAGAAGCCCTCGGAGCTCTTCGTGATCATGAAGCAGGGCAAGGCCATCTTACACAGATTGGGGCATTTGCGTCCATCTAGGAGGTCATCTATTGAGATTGGTTGCCATGGCGATACTTCTCCGTAACGCGTGGCTTAGCAAGGCTCTTACGATCACGAAATATGTAAGAACAACATTGGATATAGTTGTGTGTGTGTGTTGTTGTATGCTTTAGTCCTGTGAATGCACCCGCGATTGTGCTTAGCTCTGTTTGTTTGCAGTCCTTTGT